GGATGGATGGATGGATGGATGGATGGATGGATGGATGGATGGATGGACAGACAGACAGACAGACAGACAGACGGTGGGATAAAGAGATGAGACAGAAAGAGAAAGAGAGAGAGAGAGAGAGAATGAAAAAGAAAAGAAAAGAAAATACTGGGAGCCACAAAACCTGGGTAGATGTGGCTGGGGTGTGTGTCATGTGATTGGGTGGGAATGAGTGATGTCGTGTTGGTCATGCCCACCCAGGTTTTGTGCCTCCCAGTATTTTGCTTTCTGTGGGAAATGGGTCCAAATGGTGCAGACCCCTGCCCCAGTGGATGGGTAAAGGCAACATCTACTTACACTGGATTGCAAGATACTCTTTAGGTTTGAGATCCTAGACTGGATAGGATAGCATGAATGTGTATGGCATAGAAGTAGATTCAAGCTATGCTGATGGCATACTGGACAAAATTTTAAAAGTGTACTGCTATTATCTATTAACAGGAAATGCTCCATGAGGTATATGTATGGTTAACATTTATGAAAATTAAGTCCAAGTACAAGGTTGAAAAATAGCTAGTTTTGGCTAGTTTGCCAGCTGCCTTCCTCCTTGAAATAAGAATTTCTGGCAACAGAAATTTATGAATATAAGCTGCTCAGACTTATTCTGAGGTAAGATGGGCAGCCAGTAAAATGTATAAATAAATAAATCACCCCGCGGGAAGACTACCACAATGCCCTTGACATGCAATTGCTGCTTGGCATATTACTTACAAGCTGCAAATTGTGCAGAATATAGTTCCCATATGCTGACAGTAAGAACCTTTATAGCCATGGACTGATATAGATATATTGCAGGTGTTGCATTGGCTAATAGTTTCTGGGGTGGATTGCAAATGCCGTTTTTGGCATTTAGACCCCTTCTCCTTTCTTATATATTTGCCAAATTTTTATACCGCCAATTACACTTATGTGACTCTGCGTGGTTTATAAGCATACCAAAATGGCTTAGAAATGAGATAGGAATGACCCATCCTGTATATGTTTTTCTGATAGGGGATGCTGAGTGTTCTCCAGACACAAAGGGTAAGAAATGAGAGGGGGGTAGGGAGAGAGAAGGTGCTTCTCTTTGGCGAACCTGACCTTGTGGAATAGCCTTCCCCTTGAACAATGGCTTGATGCAAATCCCTTTCCAAAGTTGGCAAAGCAAAACTTTTCTGCAGGGTATTCAAGAATTAGTGTTGCTTGGTAGCTGCAGCAATGTACAGTATTTGTACTTGCTTATTCTTTCAGAGTAAGCATACATTTTATGTTATTATTTATGGTTTCAATTACATTCTATTATTTAAATGGCTTAGTGTAAACCCCGATGAGTTGCAAGTATTAACAATGTACAAGTATGAAATAATAATAATAATAATAACAACAACAACTATTATTATTATTATTAAACCAATGTACCAATCTAAAGAACAGCTCACATTATTGGATACAACTCAAAATGTTATATCTCATTTTGCAGCTAAATATTATGAAATACCTTCATCTCTAAATTTGCAAAAGAAAATTTCTGAAGTTAATAATTTAGAAAATGGCAGTATATTTTTTGTTTGATTGAAAGCTGCCCAGAGTTGAAGATGGGCAGCTATAAACATACTGTATTTTAAATAAAATAAAATAAAAAAACATTAGAAAAAAATTAGAATTTCATTTGAAAGGATCATTGTTTTTTGAAATACAAAGAAAAAAATGGGGTAAAAAAATTCTGGCCCACGTCCTGGGTTCTTCCATACAGCATTATTTTCATTCCATTTCCAGCTCTCAATCCACATACACATCAACCTAAAATTGACATTCTATTAACTCAAAACTGTAAAATAATATTAGAAAACCATAAGCCAATCAATTCTATTTCTAACTGAACAACAGAAGATATGTTATAAAAACAGAAACACATATGCACTTAGATGGTTTCTTGGTATGGGAGGACAGAATGATAAACCCAGAGACTGGACAGTTTATGAAGGATTTAGAGCACGCTCCTTATATAAATTGGAAATATCAAGATCTTTCATTTGTTTTTAAACAGTTGTCATGCAATAAATAACCAGAAACTCACTAAATTGGATTAAGACTGGGTTTGTCAAAGATTGCTTGGTTTTTTTTCCCTACTAGTCTTAATGAGATAGGCAGCTATAGAAATCAAATAAACAGCTTAAAACAGTTCTAAGCAAGGATTTGTTTGAATTTAGGATCTGGGATGTGTGATAAGGCAAGGAGGGAAAAAAGTAATAGAAAAACAGAGCAGTCACAAGCAAATAACAGTTATTTGCTTTACTTTAAATATCTTAGCACAGAACCAGAAATGCTAATCCAACTTTTAAAATCAGTCCACAATGTAGGAAAGAATGTGTTCGCTGATGTAGGAGCCGCATCAAGCATGTACTCTATATGAGAGCCCATTATCTTATTCAGAGTATGTCGAATGACTTGGAATCACTTAACATTTTCAGTAAAATTCAAGAAAGAAGAGACATTTAAAAGGTTAAGTTGCGAGCTAAACACAGGAAGACCATCTTGAAGAAACTGCCTATTTGCCTAAGAAATTACTCAAGACAAGCTATGGACACTACTTCAAAAGAAAAGATAATCAAATTATTTTAAATACTGTAGTTCACCCCTAGTGTGACATTCATATTTTAGTTCTAGCAGTAGGACGAGTAAAATATTGTGCCCTGATGTACTTTGGGGGGGGGGGGGGGCGAAATCTTTCCCTTCTCTCCCACCAATATTGCCCCAAATAAAAGCAAGACAATGTGTGCTACAGGATGGCAGAGTAAAAAGCAAATGATTACAAAGAACTTGATTAACAGAATGAAGCTATGTCTAAATATATATATATTTAAAATATTCAGTTTGTGTATAAATCATGGCATTTTAGGATAGGTACCAGTAGCTATTTCATCACTCAATCTCAGTGACATTTTAATACCATCTGATATACTGTATCCCAGAGGTATTTGAACGATTATTATTTCACAAAGAATTAGCTACTGAAAATGACATCTGGGGTTCTTGAAATCATCAGGAAACAGTCTTCCTAAATGGAATGTACTCTTGATCCTCACAACTACTGTTTACATCCGAGATGGGAAATACAGTGTAAAATAACTGGAGGATATGAAGTTAGGAACAACTGGTTCAAATATATATATATATATTGACTTAGAAGTTTGAATGCATTAGGATATCTAGGGTTCAGAACCATTGTATGATAGAGATTGGATAGAGGCTTTAGAATGATTAATAATGTTTATATGATTCAGGTTGGGTTTTTTTTTTGTCTTCATAGAAACACCCCCCCCCCCCCCCAAATTTTACATTATTTAAGACTAGGAAACATTTTATTCAAATATACAGAAGAAACAGAACATTAATAAAGGCAACATGAAATATTATTTACCTGGTGCCCCCAAAGAGGATGATTTTGTCTCCTATTCTACAGCAGCACTGTCGACGGCGAGGACATGGCCCTTTCCCTTTGGGTTCAATTTTCTTCCAGGTAAAAGAGACTGGAGAAAACATATAGACCGTGAAATACCAATATTGCAAGGTATTTATAGATAAGTCAAAGGGACAAACTCAAGTTGTAGAGAGTTTATGTCTTATATGGAACCTAAACCAATGGCTTAGGCATCTTATCTTTTCTTCCACTGTTTTCTTACTCATTTCTTAATAAAAAGAACTTAATTTAGGATAGCTAGATTCCAGATCCCTTGTAAGTTTCTCAGAAAACAGGGTCTTGTAGTATTTTATGTTTGTGAGCTTTAGTTCTCTGATGATAGGTAAGAGTTTATTGATAGATGCACAATTCGGTTAGGAGTTGTGTTTCAACAATATACAAAATCCCCCAAATGTATACTTGGTATGGGCTAAATACCTTTTGAAAATGTATTCAGATTTCATAGCTTCAGTTTCTTAGAAGCTGGTGTAAACTAACACAGTATTACATATCTTCAAATACAGTACTGCAAGCACTTTTGAGTTTTCTTGGGAAGTCACAGATAGCACAGTTCAAAGATTCCACATCATTTAGCCCTGAATTCATTTTAGATAGATCTTTACAACATAAGGATCCTTGGAACATCAAATGCTTTGCAGGGTAAAAGAGAATTTGTAAATAAGAATCCACATAACTTCTTTGAAAACATTCAAAAATAAGCTTATAATACATAGTTTCTTGAAGAATACATGTAGATACAGTGCCACCTCTTGGTAAATACATTAAATGTAGAAGCCAGAGAAGCAAGCCTGTTACTCTCTTCAATTGAGGGAAGAAATATGCAAATTCAAAGGAAAAACAGCTTTATAGATGCTACTCTTGGAAAACATTTTTCTTCTCATAAAACATTTGAATTAGAAATCCTCCTTGCAAAAGTGTACAGGGAAGGAGGGAAGGAAAGAGGAAGGAAAGAAGGAAAGAAGGAAGGCCTGAATAGAGTGCTAAACTGTTCCTACTGAACCAGGTGGCCAGCCCTATATATCAGGTATTAATGTTTCTGATATTCCCCCCCCCCCCCCCGCAAACAAACAGTATTCAATGACCATTAAGCAGTCTTCCTTGGGCTGCAGTTCGTTTCTTGTCCTTTTTCTTTTTGGGTACTTTTTTGGGGCCCTCTAGCATGTTGGTGCTAGTACTTTATTTTGCCTCCAATCATCAACTGATTTCATTATTAAAAGAAAATAACTGTTATTTTTTCTTGATATTTCTTGAATGTGGCAAGGGAAGGAGAATAAAGGAAACAGAAAAATCTATTTATTCCAAGAAGCGGATAATTGAGATATGAAAGATTTTGGCTATGGGGTTTTAGGATAATGGATCAAAAACACTTTAACAATCCAACAAAATTATTTTAATGATTTTAATGCCTTAAAGCTAACAGTTCTGCTCATGCAATTGTTATTACTCTACTTTAAGGACACTAAATCACCTATATCATGCCTAATTAAAAAAACAATGAAAAAATATTAACTCTACCATTGTTGTATCTCTTCTTACATATCTTCAAAAAGTAAATAATAACTATCTTTTACATAGTCACCCCTAAATTATAAAATTCTCAGTTCAGCAATATTTGCTTGGTGTTTACTGTTAAAGTAAGCTAAATGTTTTATTTTTTTAAGTTTTTGGCAGTTAATTATCCTCTTTGATGCAATTATTTTTAAGTGGGTTTAATATGTAGTACTGAGATTGTTATGAATTAAAATCTCTGAAAAAAATAGAACATTATGATATAATTAAGTTACGGTACATATTTTGGAATTATAAATCATTGTGAGCTTTTTTACTGATACTGGAAGATCTTAAAGTACCAATCAGATTTCTGGCTCAGCTATAATTAGAAATTACTGGCTCAATCCCTAAATAACAACATTCATCGTTTTTAGGATAATATTCATTTCATTGCATTCCTTCTCCTTAAGCACATCAAATTAAAGCTATGCAAATTAAAGCTATGCATAAGAGAGAAAAGAATGGGAAGAATAGGAATATTTAATTTCTTGCCTCCTGTTCTGTCTCTCTCTCCAGGTTTTCCTGTGTATGTGCCTTGGGACGTGGGAAAAGAGAAATGTCAGTTTCAGGAACAGCCACTGAAGGGGGTGGGAATCCAAGGGGCTTCTATATGCTTTTCTGAACAAAATTCAGGAACTTAAAGTGAATGCATAGAGCAGAAAAATACCTTTTTGCCCTTCTTTTTATTCAACCCACTGAGGCTAAAAAGTAGTAGTATATGCATCCTTAATTTATTGAATGTCTGCCTAAGCAGGGTACCAAAACTGTATTTCCCAAATACTATTCAATTTAATACATTAAATATCAATACACAGGGTCAATGTTTCTCCTAAAAAACAGGAAAAGACATCTTAAAGATTTGACACAATTACAGAGGCCCATGCTAGGTCCGTCTGTTCAGACTGAGAAAGCTTTTTAAGAATGTTTCTAAATTTCCATGATTAAAATAGTCAGGAAAAATGTGAGGATGGGTAAGATCATGTGAAAAAAGTAATCAACTGAACAGCTTGGTTTTGGATTTCAACCCTCAGAAAAGAAAGAAGCTATATATTCTTGCAAAAATCTGAACTACTGGAATATTAAACTATCAAGTAAGAACATATTTTCTGAATAAATTTAGAATCCCCCTTCTCCCTTTCTTAAATTTCTGAATGGATGATTTCTCTCTGCCACCACAGAACAATCACATATAAAAAGTTATTAATGTAGAACTAGACTCCCATAATTCATACAGCTAATTTATCCATCAAAAGCACACTGCAAATGAGATTGTTGCCTGATCATGCCTAGACCTCCACAATTCTGATTCCCATTCAGAAATATCCTTGATGCAGTGGAGTAGAATCTATAAAAATGTATAGCCAGTAAATTCAATATGCCCTAGATTCCTATCAGTCATAGCAATGTATATTGACACTGCACCTTTGACTTTGATTGTGATGCGGTGATTGCCATCTTACCTATTTTGACCACCCTACAAACAATAACCAACAATCAGCAATCTTGTTCACTGCACAATCAGTGTGCCATTGTAATGCCTAATTGGGATCTGCACATTTATATCAATCCTGTTTTAACACTCCTCAAATCCACAACAATTGTCATACACAATGTCAGGGTTCCAAGTAATACACCCATAGCAGCTTCAGGTTGACGCACAATTTTCTGTTGCATCCATCCCAATATATATTTTTCCTATGTTTTTCTCAGACATGATTTTTTTATAACTAATTTTGAGTTAATTACAGACTCAACTAGTAAGAGCTGTGAATCACATTTCCATCTGTGCAAATTCCATTTAAACACATCACATCATTTAACAAAAAAAAAACCTTGATATTTTTAAACATCCCTTCTGCACATTCAAAGAATCCTTAGGGCCTGCTGCAGATGGTTATTCCCTGTTGCCATACTTCACTACAGTAGTGCAACTGTGGAATAAGACCCATATATGAATGATAAAACAGCTAATAATTTGAACCGGTCACCAGAAACTTATCATAAACAACTGACATTGATGGAATCCCCAGTTACATTTATGTGCTCCCATTTATTTTATACAACATATGCAGGTAGTCCTTGACGTATGACCATTTAACAATGGTTCAAAGTAATGATGGTGTTGGGCTTATCAACTGCACTTGCAGCTATGACCATTGCACCATCTTCACAGTTACAAGATCGCAATTTGTGTGTTTGGCAACCATCTTGCATTTACAACTGGTTGCAGAGGCCTGCAGTCACGTGATTGCAATGTTTGGCTGATTTCTGACAAATAATAGCCATTGAGGATGTTGGAGTTGCTTAATGATTTGTGTATAATTTGTTTAACCACCATGTTATTTGCTTAATGACCACCATAAAATTGTCATAACGTTACAATGACTTACGACATAAATTCTGATAGCAATTGTGGTAGTAAGTCGAGGACTACCTGTAATCAGCTCAGTACATCATTATACTTCTGATCATAAAAGAGATTTCTAAAATCTCCTGCCAATCAAGTACCAATGAAAGGAGCGAGTTTAATACCTGGATCAAATTTCCAAAGATCATGGAAGTGTCTGTTCAGGCGTGCATTATAGCCACCAAATATATATAATTCTCCATTGTAGCCAACTGTAGAATCAGAGAAAAGACAGGTCAGAATAACTTCAAAAGCAGGAGCGATGGACAGAAAGATAAGCAACTGATTTTTTTTTTTCTTGTTCACTGTTCTTTCAACTCAGTTGAGCTTTTGGCATTTCCCTCATAACAGATACACATGACTAATTATAGAAAGACATAAAAATATAGACAGAAAACACAGAACAGTATATGACCTTCTGAAGACATTTGTTTGATCTACCACTTAGATATGTATTTTATGGAGTGTTACAGCTTACATGCTGAATGGCTTCGTCTGCCTTCAGGGAGAAGAGGAGTGGGAGGAGAATCCAGCCAAGAGTTTGTGTCTGTGTCAAATACTTTGATTCGGTTACAGTAAATCTCATTGTTGGAATGGAATGGCCCAAAGCGATCTGCTCTTCCCCCAAACACATACATCTTTGTCCCAATTATTGTGGCTGAATGGAAATCTCTCCATCGAGCTGGTGTGCCCTGAAAAAAAAAAATCTTGTTAGAGGCAGTCAAAGGAAAGTTAACTTTTGGAATAAAAGAAGTAGAAGGGTATGGGATCTGAGTATTCATAATCCAACTGATTTTTAACCCATAGCAGACAGAGGCTAAACTAGAAATAGGATCACTTAATGAGAAAAAAAATACATTCTTTGCATATATACTGACCTTAGTGCAGATCAAACTCCACATCATGTTGCTACTGTCAAGTTTATGGATGTCATTTGAAAAACAATCAGCCTGAAAGAAAAAGCATTGATTAAACTGCAGTACTTGACTTGTCGAAACAGAATTTGCGAACTGAATCTAGGATTCCTAAAGAGATATTGGTTACCTTGTTCCCAGACAAGAAAACTCTTGAATTTAATTCTTCAAGATTTCCCTGTGGAATTAGAATATATTCAGGGAACTATAAGAAGTGGGTAAAAAACAAAGCACCTGTTCAGAGGTTAGATTATCGAAATCTCAAAATGAATACAGAATTACAAGCTGTGTGGGCTTTACCACTGTTGTCATCATAAAACTATCTCCATTCTACAGACACCAAAAGTAAACAATGGATATTAAATTCATTGTCAGTAATACCCAAGGTTCTGAACACCTTCTCTAAATCAATTGCCTTTTAAAATAATAAAGCTGAACCTAACTTGTTCTCAGCAATGCAAATTTAATGGAACTCACTAGGTTAGCCCCCAACTCCCCAAAACCTCAAGCCAAATATTCTGAATGGAATCAGTACTAACTTTTAAAAGATACAATTTGGATGTTCTTGCCATGAATTTGGGGAGTTTAGAATTACCATAAAAGAAGACCAAGTATTTGGAGTTATAGATTCGTATCCTAAATTACTACTTTGTTTCTGCAGTTTTCTTCAGAGGACATCATAGCATTCTGCAGGTTAATTCTGCAGATTCGTTGAAAATGGTTCTAATTTTAATGCTATTGCTAACCTAGCTGTAACTATGATCCATCATATATAGTCATCAGAAACACCAGAAAGGTCCAACAGGTTATTTTATAGATATAGGCTTAATATTTGATACAACCACAGGACCTAACAGTCTTTATTTAAAACAGTCTGAACAGTAAAGACAAAGATGTCTGAAATGTCAATAAATAAACCAGTTATCTGTTATTATTGTTATTCATCTGTTTCTCAGTAGTACGATCAGCCTGCAAAAATATTAACAAACAGATTTTAGCTCAAAGCCAAGATATGGATATTTTATTCAGAGCTGGACATCTTGAAATAAACCTTACTGTATTTAGTGAGTCTTATTTCTAACTTTAATAGCAATTTAGCATTATTTTCAGACGGTGTAAACATAAGGCTATCACCAGCAACTTTAGCAGACTTTACTTTTCACAGATGTATTTAAATATTGAAAGCAAGTAGATCTGCATATAATTGGTACAAACTTTAAAACAACTTACCAGTTGCTCATATCCTCCAAAAATATACATGCTCTTTCCCAAGACACATGCTGAATGTCCATCCCTTGCTCCTGGAACCATTCCAGAAACTTTTGGAGTAAACCACTTGTGTGTGCCTAATACATAAAAATAAAAAAGTGGAGATATATCAACTATATTTAGTGGTCACAGAATGGCATGCTCAAGAATATGTGACAAAAATTCATAACTCTTGGAGGGAAAATCATTAAAGTATACAATCTTTTTCTGCATGAAAACTCTATATAAAGCATACCAAACAATGTTATGTGCCAAACCTATACAGTAGTTCATAAAAAATTCTCTAAATCCATTAGTTATTGGCTTTATTATTATGTTATCATAGATTAACATTACGAACTATCTCACAGGGAGGTTTGAATCCTTTTGGGAAATGACTAAATGAAGATGTATTTTTCACCACCAATGAAAAGTATCCTGTGCATATACTTCTAAGAATAACAGCAATGAAAAGTGTGCAAATTTTAAGGCAACACCTATCCTGAAAAGTCCCATTTCCCTCCCCTCAAGAGCACACATAATCCTTGGAGAGTCCTTGAGCATAGTTGGCAGTCAGTTTTTAGGCTTGATCCAGGATGCAGCAACAGACTGTCCTATAAAAACTCTATCCCACAAAGGTCTTTCATAACTTGGCTTTCAACCATAGCCATTCAACAAACTTGTCCTCTAGCCCAATGTAAGTTCATAATGAGAAGCCAAATCTTGTTCTATACAAGTATATGCAGGTAGCCTGCAATTTACAACCATTCATTTAGTGACTGTCTGAAATTGGAACAGCACTGGAAAAACAGTGCCTACCGTCCCTGTCCTATTGTCCCCATTTATTCGTACCTATTTCCTGTATACTTACTCATGTTTATACTTATACCTATTATCTTGTAAGTGATTGACAAATCAAATAAATAAATAAAAAATAAAACTGGTCCTTGCATTTGCAACAAACCCAACATCCTGATGCTGTTGGATAAAGGACTTTCTTACTAACAGATCCCAAACTGTTAGGATTGACAGCTATTTTTCCTCTACTCTTGCTCTCAGCACTGGCTCTCCACAGGGTTGTGTGCTCAGCCCCCTTTTGTATTCACTCTACACCTATGACTCTACTCCATCTTATCCCACTAACTCTATAATAAAATTTGCAGACGACACCACATTGGTGGGACTCATATCAGAAGAAGACGAGACGGCCTATAGGTCAGAGGTTCTCAGACTGGTCTTGTGGTGCAAGGGTCATAACCTCGCTCTGAACATCAAAAAGACCAAATAATTGATTATAGACTTCAGACAATGCAAAGCAGAGCCTCTCCCACTATATATCAATGGAGATTGTGTGGGAAGAGTTCATAGTTTTAAATTTCTAGGAACTCATATTTCCGACAACCTTACTTGGTAGGTCCACATTATGGCCACTGCAAAGAAGGCCCAACAGTGCCTGCACTTTCTGAGGCTGCTGAAAAAGTCGTCTGGGTGAGAAGTTGCTGGTTACTTTTTACTGTTCTACCATCAAGAGCATTTTGGCATACTGTGTAACGGTATAGTATGCTGGATGTTCTGTAGTGGATAAGAAGATGCTCCAGAGAGTTATAAACACAGCACAAAAAATCATCGGTTGCCCTCTTTTTTCTTTGGAAGAGATTGCGAAGACCAGACTCCTCCCTAGAGCACTAAAAATCTCCACAGACCATTCTCATCCTGGTCATTCATATTTCGAATTGTTACCATCAGGGAAACGTTATAGGTGTCTTAAAATGAGGACTAATAGACTGAAAAACAGTTTCTTTTCCAAGGCAATAATTGTCTTGAATCAAACAGTACATTTGTGATTTAGTTCTATGTATAAAGTGGCATTTTTCAACAATCTAACTTAATATATGTTTTAAATAGGTTTTAGACTAGGTATTATTATTATTATTATTATTATTATTATTATTATTATTATTATTA